ACCATCTCACCCCTATAACATTTCACAAACACAATAAAAAAACACACAAAAAAGAAAAAACAAAAAAAAAAAACTCCCAAATCTGCAGGCGGGGGACACACGCGCACCCACAAAAATTTTCATTCCCCCCCCCCCCCCCTCTCCTCCAAAAAACAAATTTATTTTTAGCTCCTCCTTAAAACAAGCCACCAAAAAAATCCCGGAATCGAACATTTCAAACCGTAAAATGTTCTTCGATCATCACTTAAAATCCGGAGTACCTGTTAAAGTTGTATTGATATTACGCTGTGTGCTGCGAAGCTACAACACCAGCAGAACCATAAATATTTCTGAAAATCAGCCTGAGGTCTCAGTATTCTGATTTTCAGTTTTGACCTTAAAATGGCGATTTATTACAGTTATGTAAGGGTTACCTCATACATGAAAGTAATCACTGAATAACAATTCTCTCCCTGTATTGTTTATGTTCAGGAATGAACGAGATCGAATTCACAGAAAGATATTTGTGGATCAAATCACTTAGACTTTCCTCGTCTCCTTTGTGAACTGCAAAACAGTAATTCTCTGAAAAACGAACATTGTAAAAATTTCCTTGAAGAAATGCAATCTCTTTTTCCTTTACCTCGTCCATAGAGGATGAGCGATCTTGAAAACCTTGATCTCACTTGTCTGGTTTTTCCGCCAGATTGGGAAAATTTGACACAAGTAAATAAGGTCATGAGTCGACCGGAAGGGTCCCGACAGGAAGATGAATCGTTTAACCGGAACTCTCTCTTCATCTACTACCGCTGACTTGTTAATCGAAAACCCGAAAACTAACCCTCCCTCTACGTCCGTGGAAAACTGTCTCCCCAGAGAAAATGCCTCTGTGACTTCTTATTGCACTTCAACCAATCTTGTCCCCAGAGCCACTCGGCTTATTCCACGTGACCAAGAAACGACGGGCTCTGGGGACGAGAATGCACTTCAACAGACCATATTCACGCATGCGCATACAAAATGCCTGCTTAACACTTCGTACGTTTCAATCTAAAAAGGTCGTGACTAGAATAGCCTCCCCGCAGACGTCCTTTGGGGTTCGTTTGTCACGCATTCATTTCTCCCCCATGACTCCCCCGACTCTTTACGACCTTGTTGTGATGAAACACTAAGTATACAAAGACTGAAGAAGGCAAAGATGAGAATGGTTACTCCAAAATATGGATCAAAGCCTACACAGAGGTTAGTTGTTTTTCACGTTCTTTGTAAGAATTTAGTGCAAGGAGCAAACAATGTCTGTTACAGTACCACTACCGCAACTGCCGTGTAAAGCTTATTCATAGCAAAGTATCTGTTTGGATAGCTCAGAATAAGGTGGATACTTCAGAATAAGAATGGCCAAAATATGGAAGTTTTGGCCATCTGGATTATTATTACTGGCAAATAGGCAAGGTAATTCAACGTTTATTTATCATTGATTTATATACATAGTTAGCGATATATCGCTATCATGAGGTGAAGCAAACGGTAAATCCAGTACATTTACTATAAAATAACAATCGGCTACACAAACAGATTGTGTGGGCCCCCTGTGAATCAACTAACCCATAAAATTACAAGATGTTTAACTGACCTTAACTGTATTTGTACCCTCTTTGTAAACGTAACAATCATGTTTATATTGGGAAGTTCAGTAATAATAATCCAGATGGCCAAAACTTCCATATTTTGGCCATTCTTATTCTGAAGTATCCACCTTATTCTGAGCTATCCAAACAGATACTTTGCTATGAATAAGCTTTACACGGCAGTTGCGGTAGTGGTACTGTAACAGACATTGTTTGCTCCTTGCACTAAATTCTTACAAAGAACGTGAAAAACAACTAACCTCTGTGTAGGCTTTGATCCATATTTTGGAGTAACCATTCTCATCTTAGCCTTCTTCAGTCTTTGTATACTTAGTGTTTCATCACAACAAGGTCGTAAAGAGTCGGAGCGATTTGCCGAAAAATAATTTTATTCAGTTCCAGTCTCCAAGCGGATACCTGATTTTGGAGTATCCATTCTAGTCACGACCAATCTAAAAACCCACTGTCCAGTGAAAAATGGCTGCGATTCTCGCAAAAGAAGGCCACTACTTAGCTACAATGGAAGCTTTTCAAAGTTCAGTTTCCTTGAAAGCAGTCGAAAAGATGTTTGACCTCGTTGACGAGATGGCAGCCCACGTCATGACAAATATGTTCAAAGGTGGCCGGAATGCTCCCCCGTTGTTTCGTGTTCTTGGAGTTGGTAGTGGTGATGGGCGAATTGATTTAAGAATTCTGGATGTCGTTTTATCGGCGATAGGATGTTCTAAGATACACGCCACCATTGTAGAGCCTGATGTTGAATTAATGGCGAGATTCAGATCGCGTGTTTCACCGTTTCCCAAGACACTCGAGGGAAAGGCTACCTTCGAGTGGCATGAGATGACCTTAGAAAAATTCATGGAGTCTAGCCCTCAGGTCCAACAGTTTGACCTCATTCATTTCGTGGCATCGCTGTACTACATGGATGCTGAACAAGTTCTAAGAAACTGTTACGCAAGACTTGCCTCAGGTGGAGCCATCTTCTGTACTTTAGTTCCCGAAGAGTCTTTCTTCCCAAAGTTGGCAAGAAAATTGAAAGGTAAAATCAACTTGGGTTCGACTGACAAGTTTTACACCGAAGTGGATCTTGAGAGCATTTCTAAGGGGAACAACTGGAACTATGAAGAATTAAAGAAATGCAGCTTTGATGCAGATATAACCAGCTGTTTTGATCACTCGTCTACAGCAGGGGGTCTTCTCCTGGACTTCTTAACCCACTGCCAAGATTTTAGAGGCACAGTGGATAAAATGTTGTTTAAAGAAGTGATGAATTTTTTGGAGGAACAGTCCTTTACTGACGATAGTGGAAGGAAAATAATAAAACCTCAACGTATTGCAGTTGTAATTTACAAATAACATTAACCTATTAATCATTGATTACAGTGCTTATCGTGAGCCAAAATACTCTCCGAGACCTCCTGGAGTAAGTAAGTAAGTAAGTAAGTAAGTAATTTTATTTAACCACATATCGCATATGAGCGATAGCTCGTTTAAATGCAAATGTGCCATAAAAATTACAACGTGATAATTTACATAATGTACATGTACAAGTGATGAATAAAAACAAGAAATAAAGAAATTAAGTCAACTAAAAAAAATAATAATAATTTAAAAAGAGAAAATATTGGTAATCAGATTGTCTATTTACAAAATACACAGTTGCAGTCATACGATGAAGACAACTGTATGTTTTGTAAGTTTTTCCTAAAAATAGAGAGGGACTCCGACATCCTTATTTTGTCTGGTAGATTGTTCCATTGTTTGCCAGCCTGGTACGTGAAAGAATGTTGCATATAAGATGAGGTTGGTCTTAGAAGAACAACCTTAAGATGGCCCCGTAGGCTGTAACCATTGCTTCGCAGTAAAAACATTTCCCGAATGTAGTTCGGTGCCTGGTTATAAATGCTATTGTATACGAGTATCAGTGCTTGTTCTATGCGTCGATGTTCCAAGCTTTTGATATGTACAGTTTTAAGTAGCTCTTCATAAGCAGTCGATTTAGAGTAGTTAAGAAGAGTCCTAAGAGCAAATGCGTTGGTTGACTCTAGTTTTGCAGACAAACCTTTACTTAGACCTATGAACAATGGTGATGCGTATTCAAAGTGAGGCAGAATAAATGCTTTGTACAGTTTAATCATAATATCTGAGGGTATAATTTTACGAATGCGACGAAGAATTGAAACTTTTGTGTTCACTTTCCGGCAAATTTCTTTAATATGTGCTTTAAAAGAGAGTGAATTGTCGATAATTACACCAAGGAGCTTGATCTGTGGAACGTAATCCAGTTCATTGCTGTCAATAACAAAGGGCGTTGGTAGAGTTGCTCTATTGAAGACGATGGATTGAGATTTACTATGGTTAATCGCCAGGAAGTTCTTACAAAACCAGGAAACGAGTAGATCAAGGTTGTTTTGTAGATTTATTTGCAAGGTGGATGGACAAGGGCTTGAAGAGTACCCCATGGTGTCATCAGCATAGAATCTTAAGGAGCACAAAATATCTGAAAAATTCGCATCATTCATGTATATATTGAAGAGAAGGGGGTCCAAGATTGAACCTTGAGGAACTCCACACTTCATAATTTGCCAATCTGACAGGTTACCGTCTATCTTGACATGTTGCTTTTGGTCAGTCAAGTAAGAACGTAGAAGTTGTAGGGCGTCTTCAGTTACACCGTGCACTGACAGCTTTGCAAGAAGCAAATTATGGTTAATAGAGTCAAATGCTTTGGAGAGGTCTATGGTAATTGCTGCAGAGTGCTCGCTAGAGTCTAAATTTGCTCTAATATCTTCGCATGTTTTGAGGAGGGCTGTTGTGCATGAATGTCCTTTCAGAAAACCAGATAAATTCCCGCTGAGGAAATGAAGGGAAAACTCGTATAGCTGATCAAAGATTACTCTTTCAGCTATCTTTAAAACAGCCGATAACACAGATACAGGACGGTAATTAGATTTTAGAGTCTCGCTATCTTTTTTATAGATCGGAGAAATAATGGAAGTTTTCCAGTTTGTAGGCCAGGAACTACCAGTGATGCATCGATTAATAAATTTTGTGAGAGAACTGAGAATTGCTGGTTCAGCAAGTTTCAATAGGCGTGGAGAGATTCCATCAGCACCGGTATCCTCTTGATGTAGGAATCCCGAACAGGAGTAAATGAGAAGCTCATTTGTCCTTTAAATTTCTGTTCAATGGCTATAACACTGGAATGGGTGAGTCACAAAACAGAAAGCATTGAGTGACTCGGGCCTGAGTGGCCTTGCTGCAAAAGGAGACAGAATTAAAATGGCTTTTCTGGCTATAGTTCCATCGTGGTCGCATATCTCACAAAAGCCACTCTGCAGGCTACATTCTAACAGAGGTTTATTTACAAACCTAATGGCAGACACAATTGACTGTAAAAATTAACAGTAAAATTTATGCTGTTCGTCTTCAAAACAAACATGACAAACAAGCATAATTAAACAACTACAAAATTCTTGCTTTTAATCAGTAACAGACCTGTACATGTATAAAGATACAGTAAAAATTTAAAGATAGCTTTTAATTATTCAATTATGACATGATCTATGCCATATGCAAATTAAGCAAGAGAAAAGCAATGTTAAGTTATAGCACCTTCACATTGGTCCAGTTAAAATAAATAACATGTTCTCTACATTGACACCTTGAAAATGCATTTTGTAGTAAATAAGAGTGTCTTGTATCAGGATTTTCCTGAGGAGTCCTGTCTCTATCATTTGGGGTGGGGGAGAGTAATAAGTCAAAGATTCCAAGTGACTCTTTAATCTGATAAATTGCTTGACTCTCCTTCAAATTGGCCTTGTATGATTGTGAATACAGGGTTTTCCTTTTCAAACCAAGCAGCTGGTGAATTTCCTTTAGCAGGCGAAGACAATCTTCATGCACAAGGCACNGACAGAATTAAAATGGCTTTTCTGGCTATAGTTCCATCGTGGTCGCATATCTCACAAAAGCCACTCTGCAGGCTACATTCTAACAGAGGTTTATTTACAAACCTAATGGCAGACACAATTGACTGTAAAAATTAACAGTAAAATTTATGCTGTTCGTCTTCAAAACAAACATGACAAACAAGCATAATTAAACAACTACAAAATTCTTGCTTTTAATCAGTAACAGACCTGTACATGTATAAAGATACAGTAAAAATTTAAAGATAGCTTTTAATTATTCAATTATGACATGATCTATGCCATATGCAAATTAAGCAAGAGAAAAGCAATGTTAAGTTATAGCACCTTCACATTGGTCCAGTTAAAATAAATAACATGTTCTCTACATTGACACCTTGAAAATGCATTTTGTAGTAAATAAGAGTGTCTTGTATCAGGATTTTCCTGAGGAGTCCTGTCTCTATCATTTGGGGTGGGGGAGAGTAATAAGTCAAAGATTCCAAGTGACTCTTTAATCTGATAAATTGCTTGACTCTCCTTCAAATTGGCCTTGTATGATTGTGAATACAGGGTTTTCCTTTTCAAACCAAGCAGCTGGTGAATTTCCTTTAGCAGGCGAAGACAATCTTCATGCACAAGGCACATTTGATTGCCAAAGACGGCAAGGCGTTGCTTAGTTACCAGCAACGGGCCTCTTCACAAGGGACAAATGTCACTAGTTGCGGGCTGAAAAGGAAAACCCTGTGAATAATAATAATGGATAATTCGAAGTTTGATCGGGAATGACTTGGGAGCTTATTCCATGCACTCTGTTTAGTTATGTCCGGCAATCTTGATGGAGACCACTTTACAATGTACAACTAATCCATCATTGCAGATTTTATAACTTGTATAAGTCAATGATTTTGATTCTCTCTTCTGTTTGATGTCAGGTAACTCCTTGGTAAATGCAGGCCTTCAGAAGGCTGCTGATAAAAATTATCCTTTAAATGCTTAGTTAAATGTGATGCATTCCCTTGTAGGTTGCACATCACATAAGCAAATAGCGTAAGTGCAGTCCTGACACATTCCATTGTAACGTATACCTTTAGAAGGATTCCCGTAATAAACCTTGAACAACTTGACAAATTTTAACAACTCAGTCAAATCTTGCATCTCACATCAGTACGCAACTTGAATGTGCTTGACACTGTCCTAGGAACATCACTATGTCCCACTAGAATTGAACACCATCAAACATTTAATACATGTCTATTGAAAAACTAACATCAGCTTGAAGGTTTTGATGAGGAACCTTCACAAAAGGCTTGTGGAAACAAACTAGCCTGTTCAAGTCCCTGTTTGGCCTGTTCAAATTCCGTGTTCAATATGCTTGTTGCGTGTTCCAATTCAGAGTTCAGTCTACTTGTAGCTTGTTCAATATTAGAAGCCAAATCTTGAACCTCTCTGTTGATTTTGGAAATCACCATTTCCATTGCTTGTCTGCCCTGCAAACAAACATCAAAAGCAAGATTCTTATCATACGATTTCACTTTTGTAATTTTTTGAAAAATAAATTCTTGCCTCTAAAGGTCTTAAAGTGAAATTATTACATTAATATTGCACAATGTATTGATGAAGCAAGTTATTAATTAACTAATGGGCAGGTGTAATTCATTAACAAAATAACATTTTTGTTTTTCAGTCTAGTTAAAATGAATCTTAGGCTAGTACATGCTAGCTACAGCTTTCCTTAAGTTTCTGTAAAACCTGTAAAGGGACTTCCTTTGCAATCTCAGGGGTTTATAGGTGAACAATGGAACCATTTAGCTTTTTACCTTTGATGCATTATTAGCCATTGTGGACCTAATAAGACTTTCACAGTAATCTTTGAAGCTGATCCTAAACACTTTTATTACAGCATCCTGAGTTAGTCTGGTCCTGGAAAAAAAAT